AAGTTTTAGGACCCCATAGAGTGCTAAGCTGAACGGTTCATTTAGTGCCCGTGCGATTTAGCCAATGTCATAAAGAGATATCTCTGAATCTCTTTATATGAAGCTGTGATATGACATTCTATTATGATTTATACCCGCTGGTCCAACAAATGAGGGCGGATTCACCCTCGGGGTGTTAATGGTCATTCCGAGCAAAAAACTTGCGAATCACCCGCGCCTGATCCTGATAAGGACCATCTTGGAGAGGAGAGTTATGAAATATTTAGAGGAGGGAAAATTAAATATAACGGAAATTTTTAGTCTTTTTGAGGCTATTTAATTTATTCATGTTTTTGTTTATTAAAACTACTGGTTTGTGTCTTATGTCTAATTATTTGAACAACGTTAGCTGGTGGTATAAAATAATTTGCTGCAACTTTCTGGTTCTACTCCGGGTTTTTCTTTCGGGTAAATGTTAGATGAAAATTTGACGAATTGAACAAATGAAATCTAAGCAATATGACTTTGAAAAATAAGGTGAAATATTTCTAATATAAAAACATAAAATAAAATAAATCCAAATTAGAAGTTTTGCATACACTATCAGCATATATTTATTAATATAAATTAATATAGAAAGTCATTAATATAAAATAATATAGAAACTAATGGTGTATGGCAATGAAAAATTCGAAAAATATTAAATATCATAAATACAATATTAAAAATCATATTTCAAGTATCTAAAGTGAGCTTTAAATTTTAGCTAGAATTAAAAATAAAATCTGAACTATTTTTGGAGCAAACTTGCTCCAAGTTAGATTAAGTGTGCCATGATTTTGGCAATACAAAAACAAAAGTATGTGTAGAAAATGATATTATAGATCGATGTCTAATAAATCATTGTAAGTTAGTCAATTATTGAGTTTTAATTAAATATACTTTAGTATTTATGGAATGCGCTCCAATTTTCGATATTCAAAAAAAATATTTTTGGAAATGAAACAAAAATTTAAAAAAAAATTAATTTCCCGTAAGGTAAATTATAGTAATCGCATAAAAATCAAAATCAAAATATTTATATATCTTTATCTTAACACACTTTCGGCGGATAGGATTTCGGGCTAACTTGTACCCGTAGCGGGGTTTTCACAACGGTGCGAATGCGTAAGCATGGCATGAAAGCACAGTCTTTTACTTACAATACTTACTGCCTAAATTCATACGCAGTAGTAAATACTATAATATTAAGTTATTATGAGGTAAAACTATCAATACTGAAGGTAAAACATTTGCAAATAAAGTTGAATATTATTACGCAATGATACATATGTTTAGTGTTTAGACAATGAAATGAAAAATGTAATTAATTCTAAAAATTTAAAACAAAATGCACAGAAAAATTTTCTATACGTTTTCTTACGTAATTACTCACAAGTTTAGTCTCTGAAATACAAAAATAAATTTAATCATAAAAATCAATTAATCAAAATACACAGAAAAGTTTGTTATAGGTAGGTTTTTTACACGAGTATACACTACACATTTTTACGCAATAAGTTTAGAATTGAAGAAATCATTTGGACTATTCTTTTTGAAGAATTGTAACAAAACTTCTTGGCGTCTTCTTTGTCTCTCCTTTTTTAAGTTTCAAATTCTTAAGTTCTTCAGGAAGGCCCCTGTTTGTTCTTATAGTCCCACAAATCCTAGTTTTATTTTGTAGTAATAATAAACTTTTATTTAAACTATTATAAAAATTGTCCATGTATACATGATGCCACAAATTTAAATAAGGTTCTAATATATCTAATATAGTTGTCTGTAAACTATTGCCATTTCCATAGTAAATTTTTAAATTGCATATGTAGCCTGACTTTGCTTCGCAAGCCATTCTAATCAGAATACCATATTTTACTATTTTTGCTTAAATGCTTGTTTTAAATATGATAAATATTTTTAATTAGATTAGATTTTAAATATAAATTTGAAGATTTATTTAGGTAATAGGAAGTAACAGGTTATTAAATACATTTAATTCCGTTGAATTCTTTCAAATAAAAGAAATTGGATAATAAAATACGAGAAATATGATATCATACATTTTCAAATTACCTGTAATCCAAGCACAATTAAAAAACATTGCGAAAATTCGTCATTCAGCAGTAAATTAATGAATTAGTTTTATTACTCGCCGGATACTGTATTTGATAAAATTACCTGTTGCCAGGTACGTAAATTAGACAAAGTAATTCCATTCTCCAATCATATACAATCTAGAGTTTTACGTTGAAAATTTGATTATTTTTAATATTGTACGAAATTAATTTTTATTGTGTATAAATTAGTGACAAACCTAATAGTTAATTACATAAATAATAATATGATTTTATAAGCTACGTTCGATTGCTTGTAAAAATGTAATAGCTTAGTTTTAACATTGTTTTTGAATTTTAAATTATATGAATTATCGAAACGCAATAAATACAAAGATAGCAAAATATTTATGTATCATATACGTATTTACGTATCGAAAATAATTTTGAAGAATAAATTATAATTTTATTATAGTTTTATAATAAATATAAAACTAGCGTGCAACCGCTCATAGTGAGAATTTCGTTCGCTCTTCGTATCTCTAGCGTGTCCTACCGAGTACCCGAAAATACCCGCACCCGCAGTTGAATGCAATCCTAAAATCGAGTACCAGTACCCGCAACCGCCGAAGTGTGTTAATAAATAAATACCTTAGAAAAAAATGGATTTATTGTGTATGTGTTTGTGTGTGTATGTGTGTGTGTGCGGAATACAAATTTTGTCGACGATTTGGGAAGACCGATCAACCGATTTGAATAATTCAAAAACATTCGATTCGTATTGATAAGGAGAACGTCTTTTAGCTTTTGCGAAGACAGTCTAGCCGTTGTTTTTTCCGAAACATACATTTTACTTGTATTGACAAGATGAAAAACTGTTAAATTTTTGGGAAGGCAGGTCCAGCGTTCTGGACTCTCAAATTTAAAAAATAAGTTTTAAATAATGTCATTTAGGCAAAAGTCCATAATGTCTAGTCTAGAGTAGTCTTAGATAATCTAAGTGGAGATTATGTCTGTGAAGTAAAGCGATAAATACAGTATAAAACATTACAAGTGGATTTTTCATTGGAACCAGAAGTTTTTCTCTTCCAGCGAATACCTTATTGAAAGGACCCATTAATCTGAAGAGAACTCGCATCAAACCAGTCGATCATATTATTCCTACTGCTCGACCCAAGGCATCAGGAAAGGTTGGACGGACATTATTACCATATCGCATAAAGAAGCTACTACAGTAACCAATATCCAGGACTGTGGATCTTACAACAAAAGGACCTCCAACCCATACCCGAACCATACTATTAACACCATTATCTCATTTCAATATATACATATATATATACATATATGTATATACATATGTATATACATATACGAGTATATACATATATGTATATATATACATATATATATATATATATCTATAAATATATCTATATATAATATATATGTATATATATATATATGTATGTATGTGTTTTTGTTTGTTTTTTAATTACTGGATGGATGCCCAAGAAACAATTTTATTATATTATTTCACCATCTGAAGAAAAACCTCTCGCTTTATATATATATATATATATATATATAATATATATATATATATATATATATTATATGAAGTGTATATTTGATAATATACATATACACACTTATAATAAACATATCGGTAATGATTCAAGATGGCACCAAGTAAACGTAGTTGTAAATAATGCTCCGAGCAAATAAGTGAAAATGTATCTGTATGTACAATGTGCAATTTGTGAAAAGTGGGTGCATGCTAATGTACTAATTTAAGCTCAAGGGAATTAAAAAATAGCCTTGGACATAAAGAAAAACGGTAATGAGTGGAAATGTAGCCAGTGCAAAAGTGAGGTTAGCGTCGTCGTGGCAGATGATGTCCTAGATTTTGAAGGCGAAAACACCACAATGAATGTGATAGAAAAAATGTTTCAAAAATATTTTTTGCCTTTCAAAAATGAAATAGAAGATAATCTCACTGCGATAAAAACTGAGCTCAACAAAATAAACCAACAAAAACATCTGTCACAAAACTGTGTAAAAAGTTGGAACACAGGTGACATCTGTTGAGTCGAAAGTGCATCAACTGGAAGAGAATTTTCTAAGTGCAGATGACATGTTTGGAGAAATTACGATCGCAGAAGGCGTGAAAAAAAAGTAATAGTTTTTAACATCACCGAATAAAAAAGAGCAATAGTGAGGAAAGGTTAAATGGTGACCAAACAAATCAAATAAAATACTCCCGAATGATCTGCAAATTACTGTCAACGATTTCAAAATCCAGCGGCTAGGCAAGCCCGTGGAAGGGAGAAATAGACCAATTGTTATAGAGACCCCTTCAACTTCTATTGCAACTAAACTTGTGAGATCTGAGTTTCCTGATAATATAAGCTTTAAACACAATATGACTCCTAGACAACTAAGTCATCTCAAGAATTTGCGCAATGAATTGAACAAAGCGATAGACAATGGCGAAACGGATAAACGATTAAATATATTAACGTTGTGCCTAGAATAATAAAAAAGCCTACATTTTGTGCGTAAATCAAAGAATAACAAAATAATATCTTAGTATATACTACCAAAACACAAAAGGACTCAGAACAAAGTTAACAACATTTCTTACAATAACTTCGAGCAGTTTATACGATATCATATGTATTACAAAATCTTGGCTTAAATCCAGTATAGCTGACGGAGAAATTATGATGAAACTTATAAAATATATAGATGCGATCGAGATGGCATTAATAATAAAAGTGAAAGGGGTGAAGGTGTTTTTATTGCAGTGAAAAGAAACATAACGAGTGAGCTACTAACACTACATAATAACAAAACCGAACAAGTATATGTCAAAATAAGGGTTTAAATCAAGACATATATTAGCGAAAAACACTCAAAATGTAAATGCTACTGCTAGGAGACTTTAATTTACCAAGTAGTATTCAACAAACTGAGTGTCACAGGCTGATTTACGATGAATTTGCTGGCTCTAAACTGCCAACAAGTAAATCATATCCCAAACTGTAAGGATAAGTTTCTAGATCTCTGTTTTAGTAACATGAATGCTTCAATAAATAGAGCAATAGCAATAATAGAAGAAGACAAATATCACCCAGCATTAACCATTATCATAAATAACAAACTGCTATGGAAACTAATTACTCAAAGCCCATTGATCTATTCAACAAAGCAGACTACCTTGGATTAAACGATTATTTCTACAGAATAAACTGGATTGATATATTTAAACTAAGCAATTTAGACAATAAGTGAACAAATTATATGATATAATTCAAAGAGGTCTAAAACTGTTTGTTCCAGCAATCATCCAAACAGATTAAATACCCCAAATGGTTTGCAAAAGATTTGATTAGGAAATATTAAGCTTAAAAAAGTAGCGCACTCTAAATACAAAAAATATAGCTCAGACAAGATTTATACTGAATAGCATACTACGATCCAAATGTAAAAAACTAAGCAAAATATGTTACACTGACTATATAAGAAGAGTGGAGAATGCTCGTAGTTACACCAATGACTTCTGGAATTTCGTGAAAACAAAAAACCTAACGATTGCAGTATTCCCAATAGTATGTCATGGACGAAACCAGCCCACAACGGTGACAGCATCAGTACCTATTTGGATTATTTTTCAGAAATATATATGCTTCGAAAACAGATAGCAGAATAGTACACAAATATGTAAACATAGGTCACAGGACACTCCGATGCCAATCTATCTTATCTTACGTGAACTACTACGATGAACTAATGCAGATTATGCTTGAACTGAATATCAAAAGGGTGCTGGACCTGATGGCTTGCCCAACATGTTTCTCAAAAATTGTTCAGCTAGTCTTTGTGAACCAATCACGCAATATATTCAGGAATCATTAGAAACAGGAATCTTCCCAACTGCTTAGAAAATGGCTTTTATTACACCCATACACAAGTCCGGTTCTAAATCAATAACGACAATTACAGACCAATTTGCATTCGATCTTCAATTTCAAAATTATTCGAAAAAACTGTACTCCAAAAATTGACTTGTCTTTTAAAAATATAATCTCTACCAGACAGCATGGTTTTGTAGGCGGGCGATCACAGCAACAAATTTGGTTCTGTACCAGATTATATCATCATCATAACTTCGGATTGGATGTACACGCAATTTACACCGATTTCAGCAAGGCCTTCGATACGGTAGACCATGACATATTAATACACAAACTGCGCCAGTACGGTGTTAGGGTAAAGCTCTGGAGTGGTTCACATCTTACTTGACTGGCAGGAATTTCAAGTAAAATAGATGAACATGTTTCTGAGGAATATGATGCCATATCGGGTGTACCACAAGGATCGCATTTAGGACCATTTTTTGTTTGTAATTTTTATATAATGACATCGGAATAGACTTCAGTCCGAATTTCTGCTTCACGCGGATGATCTAAAAATTTATAAAAGAATTTAAGTGAGAGCGATGTTACAATACTACACAAACAAATATCGCGAGACTGAATACATGGTGTCAAATTAACAAGTTAAATTTAAACTTCAAGAAATGTGCCGTAATGACCTTCTCTAGATCCACAATTTTTGTCCTTACCAACACTACTTCTGGGTAATCAAAAATTATTGAAGTAATGACAATAAAAGATCTAGGAGTCATTATGGATAACAACTCTGCTTCACTGAACACATAGACAACTCACTCTAAAAGCCTATCGTACACTCAGCTTCATA